CTTATTTAGAGTGAAAAAGTATTTACTACTTGAAATCAAGATTTGAAAATGATCAAAAAAATAATAGTGTATTTACAAGTATATTATTACAAATAAGAACTTTATTATTTTTATTAGATCAAAGTATGAGAGTTTCTAGTAATGAAAAACTCTTCTTTTATACATTTTCAACAGTTTCTTTGATTTATATGATTATTAATGATTCTAAATTATATTAATATTTACTATAATACTAAATAATATTAAAGAACAAAGACTAAAAAATTAATTACACAAGATAAGAAAAAAAAATATTAATATGAATTTTAGTGATTAAAAATAAGAAAAATTATAAGCACACAGTAAAAAGAAAAATTTGAATAACATGAAATAAATTATAAGAGAATACAATATAAAAATAAAGATAAAAATAAAAATAAAAACAAGAATGAAGATAAGAATGAAAAATAAAATTAATATAAATATAATTGGATAAAGATAATGAAATTCAAATAAAGAATATTCTTGTTGAAGATAAAATATAAGATGTAACAATAACAAAAAGATTAATTTGAAAGTAAAAAAATACAAAAGAAAATAGAATGTGGGAATAAAGGTTAAAATAAAAGTTAAAGTATGCAGAAATGTGATTCGTTGATGACTACGTATTTTATTACGTAATTAATAATAAAAAAGGAAGTGATATTTATGATTTTTGTATTAATTGCAGTTGTGTAACGGTAATGTCAAATAAAAGATCAAATTACATGTAATATGAATATCATTGGACGAAATTACTATACTCCATAATTTGCGATATCATAAAAATTATGGAATTACGAAATTTTTGTTGAAAATGATAATAATACTGTCTGACCTATATAGTCACACCATTGGTAAAATAAATAAATTGGTGATTATATAGCATTATTAAGTATTAGTTCTAAAGGGATGTGACTATAAAAATCCTGTGATTATAGAGAGATTTTTTTATATAGTATTAATTGTTGGTTTATGAAAAGCATGCTTATAAAGAGGTTTTTATATGATGTGACTATATATGGGTGACTATAGAGAGGTCAGACTGTACGAACAAAAGACAACAAATTCACTTAAATGTAGTTTACACCAGTCAAATCTTTACTACAAAACTGATTTCGATTCCAACTGACTTATTATTTCTAAATATAAATCATACATGTATTAGCATTTCATATTAATTAAAATTCATATCGAATATTTAGGGTTGACAAGCATATTCCAAACGAAGATAAAATTATAATTTTTTATTGGCTTCATTAATTCATTACTATTTTTCTTTTGGATTGCAAAACAGATTTAGGTGAAATGAACAATCATGAAGATATTTCGAGTTTCTTTCAAGAACTACAACTTCATGATGAAACACTTCCAAATCATGTTCGTTATTAGATGAAACTGGTAAGTATTGATTTATTTATGCGTTATAGAATCTTATTAAAAGGATAAAAATTATATATTTTAATTTGTTAGCATCAAAAAAATATTAAAGTTTGAATCGATATCGATATTACTTTAACAATGCAAAATCGCCTATATCTTCATTTAACGAAATGAATGGATAGAAACCGCAATAAAAGAAAAGTAAATGAAATTTTCGATTTTAGTGAATTTTCTGCTAAAAAAAATGGTTGGAAATGGAACATTAGGTAAAGTTTATAGAGCAAAAGTGAAAAATGAAGATTGACTGTAGCTTTGAAAAGCTTCATCTAAGTGATGAGAAGCATGACGAAGAAACAAATAAAAATTTAGCAACGAGGTATTTATCTATTTAGAAGAATAAATTAACCAAAAACCTAACATTTTAAATATTCCTTGGTTGAAATCTCTTAATAAATTTATCATAATTGAATTTATTTTTCTAACATCTTTTAAATTAGAATTATATGCACAGAAAGATATGATTGTTATGAAGTATGTCGATGGTGGAACTCTCGAAAGTCATTTAAAAAAAAATTTTCCAACTTGACTGGTAGCGACAAATTAAATTTGCCAAGCAGCTTGCGCAAGGATTAATAATGCAAAAGTAATTCATCGTGATTGGTAAGTATAATGCCAAACGATAACGATGTTACGTATTAAATAAAGATCGGTTCTAATTACAAAATTATTTTGGATACCAGAATCATAATAATGTCCTCCACAAAGGGAAAACTAAAATTTGGGCTATTCGACACTTGCAAACGCTAATTCAAATTCAAAGACAACTCGCGGAGTTCCGAGTTATATTGATCCCGCATTCTTGAAAGATACGGAAAACTTTATGCATAATAAAAAATCAAATATTTACAGCGTCGATGTTTTGTTTTGGTTTATCTCTAGCGGCGATATTCCAGATTGGTATGTATTTGACATAAATGCGAAAGCAAAACAAATTCACGGAACTCCTGTCAAATATGTTGAGTTATATGAAGCATGTTGGGACAATATACCCGCAAATATTTATAAGTAAATCAACAACTTAATAAACTCAAGTGGCTATCAGAATCAAGCGATGTGATGGATTTTGATACGAATAAAGATTTAGCTGCCGAAAATGAATACAAGGAAATTTCAAATGACGATATATATTACAAAAGTTTTGACGAATTAGTAACTCCACTAAATGATTTACTCGGCAAAGAGAAAATTTAAATAGAATAAGCGCAGAACTACAATCGTATTATGACTTGTACAGTCAGCACATTTTGAAATTCAGAACTATTTGAAAAGTAATGCTCAATATAAACTACTTTTAAGGTTCTTTCTCAAACTGGATTAATAGTCGAAAGAATGTTGCATTAATTGAACATTGATATAGAATTATCAAGTGACAACGCATCAATTCAATTATTTCTAATCGGAGCACAAAATGATGAGAAACAAACATTCGAGTTGTATTTGAAATTAGCAGAGGATGGAGACGCCAATCTCGGTGAGTTTATTATGAAGGAATCGGAACACAAAAGATGAGAAAAAAGCATTCGAATGGTATTGGAAATCAACAAAGGAAGGAAATACTCTAGGGAAATTTTGTCTTATCATGAAGGAATTGGAACGCCACAAGATGAGAAAAAAGCATTCGAGTGGTATTTAAAATCAACAAAAGGTGGAGATACTTCAGAGAAATGTGGTCTTATCAAAACGGAATCGGAATACAAAAAGATGAGAAAAAAGCATTTAATTGGTATTTGAATCAACAGAGTGGGATAATATAGTCTTGGTTGGTGCTATGCAAATGGACTCGGAACTCAAGAAGGTGAGAAAAGACGTTCGAGTGGTATTTGAAATCAGTAGAGGTGGAGACGCAAGTGGATAATGCAATATTGGTATATGTTATTAAAAAAATCAGTGTTTCTAAAAATATTAGTAAAGCTAAAAAATGGTATAAAGATGCAGTTAAAAATGGCAGCAGTAACACAAAAGGAAGAATATATGTTAATTTTTTCCACGCTTGTTTAAATTAGAAACCATATTTATATTTTTGTATTGAGATCTTTTTATTTACTAAAATTCAAACTTCCCGAATCATTTACGACTCTATTGTTAATTCTTCATGGGCACAGAAAATTTGAAGCGATTTTATAACTCGATACTATGAAAATTTGAATTCACACTTTTATTTGTCTTATTTTGGTTTAATACCGAATTAATCGATGGTTATAACTGCAAAATTAAACTGCATCACAAAACCTGGACCACGTGTATCGTCTACGTAAAAATCTAGTGTGTTAGCAATACAGTCATTGTGTAAGAAAGCATTGTATCGTTGCTATAGATGATGGTAATGATGGTGGCAGGTGTTTTTGCTGTGACTCGCAAAACCAAATATTGTTGCAAATGTTGTTATTGTTGTGCCTGTATGGTATGCATTCTTACTTGGGCTATAGCAAAATTTCACAAGGAAAGGCGATTGCCCTGATGAGTGGGTCATTATGCAAGGTTTGGCACGTGTTTACATGCAAAAGTCTCAGTCGATTGTATTTTATAAAAATATATTTGTGATATAAAGAATATATTTATAATTTAAAAATTTTTTTAGTTCATTTTTATTTAATAAATGTTATTCAAAAAAGGCTTTATTTTGATGAATTTTTTAATAAACCATAGTAACATTTCATTTTTACTATATTTTATTAAAAAATTCATCAAAATAAAGCCTTTTTTGAAAATTTGTCTCTTTTTTGAGTAGCATTTTAAAATTGAAATATATTGTCAATTAAAGAGTTCCTGCACCATATTAGTTTTGAGAGGTTATCAGACAAATTCATAAATGATCAGCTAGATACGTAGTCTTTTTCTGGAAACACTAAAACAAAAAAGATATTATTTAACAAATCACTAACGTTATATCATTTTTCATGTATTTGCATGTGGTTTTTATTGTATTTAATAAATTTTAGACATAATGTACAATATAATCATTTAATCAGTATTGTGAGAGACAAATTTTTACAAATTTGTATTGTGCTTTAAAATAAATGTTTATATTAAAATTCTAATAACTTTCAAACCTGATATCTCATCTTTTGAGTATCAGTTATCAGAAATGGCAGGTTATCAGGTTTGAATTATGAAACGGACATGGTGGATCAATTTTTTATCAGTTATGATAGGTTATCAGTTTTGACAGGATCAGTTTTTGGAGGGTGGACTGTACATATACATGTACATAGTCCGATGCATGAAATCATAGCACATCTAATACATACGAAACAATTACAGTACAATATCAGAAATTGCCTTCCAAATTAATGGTCTCATTACATGTATAAAGTTGCCCATTTTATTCTATTAATTTTAACTTTCGAGTTTGTTCTGGTTTTCTATGTTACCAGCAAGAAACTATTTATATGCATTATTAATTATTACTGAAAATATATATATACACGTACAATGTGGAACGAAATTTACAGTTTAAATTTTACATTTAATGACTTTTAAAAGAAAAGAAATAAATTTAAATTCGGTTATGATAAATTCTAATACGTATTTATCCAAACTTAAAGTAAAAACTGAAATTCTAATTGGTCAAATTTTTGTACTACTTTTTTTGGTTTTGAAACTGAAGATAATGGACAATAAATATCTCGTTTTGCATTCTCTTGAATATGCATTCGGACTTCTTCATAGAAATACCATTGTCGCTCAGAAGATAATACATGTGCTTGCTTAACTGAGTGAAAAGCATCAAAATCTGGTGGAATTTGATTATGTCTAATTAAATTCACTTCCTGTTCTGGTCCATTTGTTGCAATATTAATTGTAGCATATCCCAGATTTTTTTGACTAAAGCTAAAATGATGTTATTTAAAATATTTGGTACTCTATCAAAATAATTGTCTAAAAATTCAGTTCAATTAAAAAAATTTACTTTTCTTATACTATTTCTTTTTTTTAACATTTTCTTTAAGCAACGTTACTGTAGTCGGAGATATTTATATAGATCAATAGTCCTATACAAAATATAAGCCTGTAAATTTCAATATATTTCTGTAAAAGACACGTAAATGGACACTTTTACGTTTTTACAGATATATAATTGATTATGTAAATATATAAAACCAGAAGTTTACAGATTGACATGTATCGGTATGTCTGTAAGTATCAGATCAACAAAACAATTAACATGTACAGTATCCCCAAAAAGTAACGCCCGATGTAAAATTAAACAAAAATTTTCACATTTTCCCGATTTATTTTATTTTCAACAATTTATACATAAAATAAAAAATCATTTTATTTACCCTCATTTGACTTGAATACGGCTTTAATTCTTCTTGGCATTGAGGAAATAACCTTTCCAAAAACAGAGGCGTCAAGTTTTTCACACTCCTCCTTTAACGCGATTTTAAGTTCGTCCTCGGACCTCGGAAAAACTTCATGCATTATCTCTCAACACCTTCCAAATATTCTCAATTGGGTTTAAGTCTGGTGAATTCGCTGGCCAATTGATAGTCACGATTTTATTTCCGCGAATAATTTTGATTTGTCCCGCTTATGGATCGGCGCGTTATCTTGCTGAAAACTTGCACGATTCCCAGCTAATACCGTAATTGCTTTATGAAATGGTAAAAAATTAGCTTTTAAGATTCTAAGATAGACATCCAAATTTCCCCCGTCATTTTTGTATTCATTACAAAATACCAGTGGTCATTTATGTCTTCTCGCAAAACACCCCTAAGCCATTACAGATTTTCGTCCGCTTTTACAAGTAGGCACCAAGCAATTAGCATTAAATTTTTCTCTAGTGTGTCACCAAACTCTTGATTGTCGTGATAGCTTCCCAATTTCCACACTTGTCTCATCAGAGAAGATTATATTTGCCCAATCATAAGCTTTTTTATTTGATTTCCTCACACCACCTAAAACGAATATAAGCATGTGTATCCGAAATGTAGGGTTTCTTTGCTGCGACACGAGAATAAAGTCCGGCACCGTGTAATACATTTGCAGCAATTGACAGACTACAGTTAAGATCTAAATTGTTGACAATTTCGCGGAGTCATTTTTCATTAACTTTACATACGAATAAATTTTTTTCATTGACTGGTGGTCTTCCAGAACGGGGTAAGTTTTCACTTTTTCCCGTCCTTTTGTACTTGCAATAAAGCGCCGTATTATTGTGGGATCACGTCCAAGCATTTTTGCGATTTGGGTGGCATTTCAATTTCGTTTAGCTATATACAAGTAGACGTCATTTTTTTATACATGTATAAACAAACGTCAAGTTTGTTTATCCAATTCGATACATGAATCTATGTACACCATAATCCGTTTTGGTTAGATCAAATAACAGCCAATAAGAATGCATAAATTTTTGATCAACCCGGTACTGTACGTATAAATAAGCCACATGCAGTAAACTACGTTATCGTTCTCGTTCAAACTGAAGACATTGATCAACACTACTAAAAATTACGCTACGGTAAAATAAAAAAATCTACAATGAAGGCTGGCTTATTATTGACTTCGCACTCTAAAAAATTGGCGAAATTTTATGAAAATGCCAAATATTGTGATATTTCGATCATTGTTGGAGACAACCGATATACTGAGCAAACTTTTATAGCGCATTCGTCAATACTAATGGCGCAGTCGGAATATTTTGCTATTGCTCTTTCTGATGCATGGGTAAAACGAGAACCTAACAAAAAAATCGTCTTCAAGAAACCAAATTTTGAACCGCATACTTTTGAGATTTTATTAAGGTAATCTTTATTTTTACAGTGGGAGACAGCATAAGATATCCACTTAGATGGCATCATATCAAGTGTTATAACTTAAAGAGGAAAGATAATATAAAAAATAATATAACCATATACGTAATAGCTTTTAATTAAGCTACGATTTGGTTAAATTATTTTTTTAATTTTCTTTTTCTTGCGATATAAATTTGTGAAATTACAATTTTGGTGTTTACTAAATAAGAGTTCTGATTGGTCAGATTGAATATAAGATCTGTCCCCCACTATAGAATAATGTATTAAATTGAATTTTAACCTATATGATTATTATATAGATATATGTATAGTGGTAAAATCGATTTGTCAGACCATGAGGTACCAACGCTTTTAGATTTATTAGTTGCTGCCGATGAATTGATTCTTGAAGAATTGATTGAATATATTCAAGAATATCTTTTGGAGCAACGTTCTGAATCTATAGTAGAACATTTCGCTATAATCAATAAGGTTGCTTTTCAACATAATTCCTTTATCAAGCTCCATGAATTCTGCACGGAAATTATATGTAAAAATCCGGCCGCAGTTTTTCAATCCAGCGACTATGTAAAAACTCAAGAAGCGGCAATCATTTCTTTGCTCAAACGAGATGATTTGAATCTAAGCGAGATTGAAATTTGGGAGAAGGTTCTTGAATGGGGAATCGCTCAAGCGTCAGCTTCTGATAACGTCGATTTATCGATTCCAGTGGATCAATGGTCACAAAACGAATTCAATCAACTCAGTGCCACGCTTAAAAATTCTCTACCATTAATCCGTTTCTTTCATATAAACTCTGTTGATTTTTATAACAAAGTGATGCCATACTCGGAGATAATATCCAAAAAACTCTACAATGATCTATTGCATCATTACTTAGTACCTGGAAGTGAGGAACAACAAGCGTCACTTTATCCCATCCGTGATTCTCACAGTTCAAAATCAACAATTCTTTCTTGTGGACAAATCAATAAAATGATTCAATGGATAAAAGAACAAGATAATGAAAAAAACTATGAATTCGAATTTAACCTATTATTACGTGGTAGTCGAGACGGATTTACTGCTAGAGATTTCCACCGTTTATGCGATAATAAAGGTTCAACTATTGTTGCTATTCGTGTCAAAGGTCACAAAATTATTGGTGGATACAATCCTATTGAATGGAAATCTCTTCATACATCAACTTCTGGATTAACGAGCTGCTTTTTATATAAATTTGATTCTGATGACATTACAGGATCCAATGGAGTTTTAAGTATGTATAAATATGGTATTAGTATACAGAACGATAGAACCATAGGTCCTTGTTTTGGAAATGGCGACTTGTATTTGTTTGCTGATTTAGGCAATTCATGTAATAAAAGGTCTTTTGAGTCTGAGCTTTTAATCGAAGGCCTAAGAGTATCTTTTGATATTGAAGATTATGAGGTTTTTCAAATAGTAAAAAAATGAAATAAAATTTTTTAGTCAATTTATTTTTATAATTTTTCTATTTCGTAATTTATTTTCGTTACCCCCGTTCTAGACTATCTTGTGTCAAATATCAAGAGTGTATGTATATACCCTATAAAAAAAACAAACATGTACTGCTATTCATGTTTTAATTATCACAATCAATTTTACAGTCAGCACGGAAAGTAATGGCGGACGTGTTTTTTGCTTATATCTTAATTAAGAAATTTTCAAAAGTCGTGAAAACTTGTAGATAAATACTTTAGAATATTAGGAACAAGATTTATTAATATCATAAAGCATATTAGCATAATAATATTTTGAGAAATTTTGTGTCAAATGTGACGAATTATAATTTTTAACAATTAAGATGGAATAAAAAATTATTTAAAAATATTTTTAATAAGAAATTTTGAAAATAATTTAATAAAGATATCTTTCGTGATATTTATAATTTAAAGAAATTTTTTTAGTTCATTTTATTTAATAAATATTCAAAATCTGCTCAGTAACTTTGTTCTTTATAATAAGTTCTACAAAGTTACTGGTCAGATTTGAAAAATTTGCCTCTTTGTTGGAGTAGTAAGTAGCATTTTAAAATTGAAACATATTGTCAATTTAAGAGTCCCTGCACCATACAAAACTTGTCCACCAAGGATATCAGTTTTGAAAGGGTGAACTGTATTACATGTACTTTATTACGGTAATAATTGTGACAGATTAAAATGAAATCAGATTATAATAAAATAAAATTTGGGATCTTTTTTTATGGGAAAAAAATTTCAGCGAAGGGTTAGGGTTAGGATAGAGCATAGAGTATAGCATTAAAATATGTAATATATTGACCTATGATTATTTAAACATCCCACTCTGTTTCGTTTTAATCTGGTTTCATTTTAATCTGGTTTCATTTTAATCTGCCACAATTATTACTTTAGTGAAATTTGTCAATTTCTACTTTTAATCGTCCATACGTATTTTCATAAATCATCATCTTTTCATAAATCATCTCTTCATAATCAATTGCTATTTTTGAAAAACTTGATTATATTTGAAAACGAAAAAGTATCATTTGCACCTTAGAAATTATTTATTTTTATTTCCGATGTAATTTTCTTTGAATTGTAATACAAATTCGCACTTTCCATAATTTACTTCCTTTATGATCCCACCCGTTATATATACGTATATATAATTATTACAAAATTACCTTTTGTAAGATTTGACGCAGGTAAAGGGATAAAATTTAATACGTGTCAACCTTGTGATAAACTAACAGTTTACTTGATGTTTGCTTAAGGTTTCCAATTATATTCAGGTTTATTCAAAGTTTACGATGATAAATTTTGTGATAAACTACCGCATTTACATAATGTTTAACTTAAGTTTATATTGGTTTTCAAACTACATCAGTTAACCTTACCCCTTTACCTGTGTGGTAAATCTTTCAAAGGGATCCATTTGAAAGATACACATTTACTAGACTATAAATTCATTTGTGATATTTATAACATATCTTATATTCTTTACAATCGTAACATTTACTCCAATCATAAGTATTGTGATTGAAAATTAAAATTTGTTAGTTCCTTAGTTTTATGAATTAGTCTGGTTTTCCAAAGTGTACGAGTAAGAGATTGTTTCGATAATATATCTGAGCTGTAGTGTCAATTTCAATATCGCTAATGTTTAACGATAACACATACATGTATATAAATTATTACTTATCAGCTTCATCTAATAATGAGCACAATATTCATTCTCATTAATTTCATCTAAATCTGTTTTGCAATCCAAAGGAAAAATAGTAATGAACTAATGAGATCAATAAAAAAATGAAACAAGCAATTTTACCTTCGTTTGGAACAAACAAACTGTCACTTTCAATCCTAAACATTCGATATAAATTTTAACTAATATGAAATGATACCGTTTAGTACTGTATGCAATAACCAGGGTCTTATTCAAAAATTGTAGTTTATAAATACCCGTAGGTATTGTGTATGAAACCAGTTATTATATTTGGAGTAATATATATTCTACAGAGGGTATTAAATTTAAGGGAAATTTTATATAGCGTCTACATATGAATTTCGATATAGTGGATTGATATAGTAGATTTTTCAATATAACGGATTTTTTAATATTTTTATATATTATAAAAAGAGTTCCAAAACAATATACGTACATGTACGAATAATTTTAAATACA